AATACTTAGGCAAACCTACACAAAATTCTAACAATTGTTTCGAACTGTGGTTGATAAAAAAGCTGAGGATATCACCATATCTTACCTACAATGTACAACAACCCACCCCGCTTTCCCCTTTCAAACCTCGCCTTCTCAAAAAGGACTGGTGCCCGCTGCCTCGGACAAGCTTCGCGTAAATTCTAGGTGTCTCCGTTAGCATACCTAATCCCTGCACCGAGGAAAGGTGGCCTACTGTACTTCGTGGGGAGAGGTCGCGGTCTAGAGAAACTTCCACCTCACCCTCAACTTTGTCCATGACAATTCATCCTCAAACCTCAATCATCTTCTTTGAGTCCGTCGTATTTTCGATTCACGGTCTCTAGCACAGCTCTGGTTCTCCCTTCTGGTTACCGGTTTCCATCGTCTGCTGTCTCTTGCACAATGTTCTAGAGACAAGACTCGTTAATACATCTGATCATCCCCTCCTCTATCGAACCTCACGTTTTTTCAATACCTTTATTTGGCCGCAAGCTTCACTGCTCTCGTAGCCAATTGAACTCGGTGAGTATTTACTACGCAAAGTTCTTGCATAGCATTCCCAATTCGAGTTCCATTGACCCCTTTCTGACATCCCACATCAGTTCATCTGCCACCAATACCGACTCTAGCTAGCTACACCGTTCGAAACACAAACCACGCTTACAATGGCTTCCGAAGCTCCCGCTAACGAGCTCTCTGCTGCTCAGAAGCTCATGCAGAAGCACGCAGAGGCCCCCCATCATGTCACCGTCGAAGATGCACCTGATGAGGACCTTCCCATCCGTTCTCCTGCCGAGGCCTCTAGCTCCGCCGAAGCCCAGGCTCCAGCTCCCAAAGCAGCTCCCAAGCCGACCGCTGCTAAGACTCTCGATACTCAGTCTCATGAGCTGTTCCCTGAGCTCGGTGGTCCCAAAGGTAAGGCTGCCAATGTGGCACCCATCTGGGGAGCTAAGACCGCGAACGGCGCCGCCTCCAACGGTGGCTCTCGTTCGTCTACTCCCGCCTCTGGTGCTGCTACCCCCAACAAGCCATCTATGTTCATTCCTGGCCGCAATGTCGAGTCTGTCACCCTGGATCCCCAGTACATCCTGTCTCGTAGCCAGCTAAAGAGGCCCATCCCTGATATCATCAAGGATCTCAACCGCAAGTCTCGTGCCACCCTCTCAATGAACACCACCGCCAACGGCCGCTACAAGTTTGACGCTACTGGTCCTCAGGATGTCGCTCAACAGGCGATCAAGGATCTGGTCGGTCAGATTGGTACTCGAGTAAGTTTGTGTGCCTCCCATTCGCAAGCTAAACTAATACTTGCTAGACTGCCATCAAAGTTCCTATTCCTCAGTCAGCCCGCGCCCACATTATCGGTAAGGGAGGATCCACGATCAAGGCTCTACAGGAGAAGTCAGGTGCCAAGATTCAGCTCCCCAAAGTCGACGAAAGCAACCCTATCGATGAGGAGGATGACGATGCTACCATTGATGTGACTGTTGAGGGTAATGCCCTCTCTGCCGCTTCTGCTCGAGATGCGATCCTCAAGATTGCTGACGAACGGTCTGCCAATGTCCAGACTAAGGTTCGGGGCATTCCTGCTGCCTTCTATCCCTTCATTGCTGGCCAAGATAATGCATTTGCTCAAGCCCTTGAACAAGACAGTGGTGTGCAGGTTCGCATCCCTCCCCTGCAGGCATACTCTACAGGGCCCGCTGCTGTTACTACCAACCCTGGTGAGCGACCTATCTTCGCCCCTGCGGGCAATGACGATAGCCACATTCAGCTTGCTGGTGATCGAGCTGCAGTGCAAAAGGCTCGCGCCGAAATTGAGCGCCGAGTCGCTCAGCTCCACAGGGAACTTGCTGCCGAGCAGCTGTCTATCCAGCGTGGCCGCCACCAGTTCATCGTGGGCGACCGAGGTGTCCCTGCTGAGCAGTTCTTTGCTGATACCGGCTGCTCCATTCTTCTTCCCACGGATGAAGATGATGACGTTATCACCGTCATTGGACCTGCTGACGAGGTTGCTTCTGGTCTGGAGAAGGCGATGGATCTGGCCATGGGCATGCAGATGTCCAACTTGGACATTGCTCGATTCCACCGCAACGCTCCAGGCGGCGCTGCTGCACATGCTAGCAATGTGACTCGATATCTCCGTCAACGCAAGGAGATCGAGCGCCTGGAAAAGATCTACAACACTCATATCAACACCCCTTTCTCAGAAGGAGGTGCACTTCCTTGGGAACTTTACTCACGCGAGGGTAAGAACGCCATTCGTGCACAGTCTGAGATCACTGGCATCGTCAATGCCCAGCCTCCCTCTCGCATGAGCGCTATCCCCATTGATCCTTTCTTCCACCAGCACCTTCGTAACAACATTTCTCGTCAAGTGAAGGATGACTATGGTGTCCAAGTTGTTGTTCCTGAGGCTTCAGAGGGCAATGTTCCTGTCCTCTTGGTGTTTGAAGGTCCTGATCCCGCAAATGGTCCTTATCAGCTGCCCAGTACTAAGCCAACAGATGCCGAGATCCGTGCCTTTAAGAAGGGGCTCGAGGATGCCCAGAAACACATTCTTGAGCTGATCAACAAGCAGGAAGCTATCACCAGTGCTGAGCTTGATGTTCCTGCCAAATACCATGAAAGACTCAGACGATTCATCAAGAAGGAGCAGGAATCTCGAAAGTCGGACCAGATTCCTGTCCGCGTCTCGAAGAACGGAACTCGCATCACCCTTAGAGGACCTGCTTCTGCTGTCGAGTCCCTTGCTGCTAAGTCCAATGCTTTTGTCGAGCAAGAGAAGGAGGATGAGAAGGAGCGTGGCTTTACGTTGTCCTTCGATTTCCCCCAGAAGTTTGCCAATCACTTAATTGGAAAGGGTGGTAGCAACATTCGTGAGCTTCGAGACCGTTTCGATGTTGAGATTCAAGTCCAAGATGGCAAGGTTGAGCTCAAGGGACCAAAGGCCAAGGCCGAGACTGCTCGCTCCTATATCCAGAGTCTCGCTCGTACATTGGCAGATGAGACAAGTCACACTCTGAAGATTGACCCCAAGTATCATAGGGAGTTGATTGGGGCTCAGGGAAGCCAGATCAATCGGCTGCAGACTCGTTACAAGGTCCATATTTTCTTCCCTCGATCTGCCAAGTCTGCAGACGATGAGCAGTCTAATGTTGATGCCGAAGATGGTGCCAAACCTCGCCGACAGCAAGGTCCTGATGAGGTTATCATCCGAGGTCCCAAGAAGGGTGCTGATGAAGCTCGGGATGAGATCTTTTCTCTTCACAAGTACCTTGAAGAGCATTCCGCTACCGCTACTGTTGCTGTGCAGCAGAAGCAAGTCGGCTCTCTGATTGGACAGGGTGGTTCCGCTCTAGATGAGCTTCGCCAGGCTACTGGTGCTCGTATTGATGTACCTCAAGACCGAGACACCGACATTGTCGAGATTCAGATCAAGGGTACGGCTTCACAGGTCGCCAAGGCCAAGAAGGTTCTTGAGGAGAAGCGAGCTGTCTTCGACGATACTGTAGTCCGAACCCTTGATGTTGATAAGAAGTACCACAAGGCTCTCATTGGAGCTGGCGGTAAGTTTATACCTTTAATGTCTATTCTAACGATAACTAACTGTGACAGGCTCCAACCTTCGGGATATTGTCGTCAAGGCTGGTGGCTCTGATGACCGACGAGAGCTCGCTCGCACCATTCAGTTCCCCAAGCAGGAGGCTGACGGAAATACTATTAAGATTGAGGGTCGCACTGATGTTGTGAACAAGATCGTTGAGCGTATTCAGGAGATTGTGGGTGAGCGTGAGAGCCAGGTCACTGAGATTGTGGATGTTCCCATTGAGAACCACCGTTCACTCATTGGCCGTGGTGGTGATACAAAGCGCCAGCTCGAGTCCAAGTTCACCGTCTCTATCGACGTTCCCCGCCAAGGTGATGGCAAGACTGGCGTCAAGTTGACAGGCCGCCCTGAGAACGTGGCCAAGGCTAAGGAGCACATTCAAGGACTGGTTCAGCAGCAACAGGGTGAGACCATCCAGGTCCCTCGCAACCTTCACCACTCCATTTCCAACGGTGGACAGTTCTTCCGCCAGCTTCGCAACAACTACTCGGTCACTGTTGATCATGCTGGCCAAGCTCTGCCTGCTAAACCTGACTCTTCTACTCGCTCCAACGTCGGCGAACTCCCTCTGATCACTGATGACGACGATGCCACATCCGAGGCACACTCGTGGAAGGTTGTCCAGATTGATGCTGGTGACGATGGTGATTTCCCTTGGGTTCTGCGCGGTTCATCTGAGAACGTAGAGAAGGCCAAGGATGCCATTGCCAAGGCTCTTGAGCAGGCCAAGAAGAATGATGCTACCGGCTATCTGGTTCTCCCAGACCCTCGAACCTACCGACATGTCATTGGTCCCAACGGCTCCAAGGTCAACTCGATCAGAAAGGAGAGCAATTGCAAGATCCAGGTCCCTCGTGACCAGGCCAAGGACGAAGCCATTGAAATTATTGGAACCAAGGATGGAGTTGAGATGGCTAAGAATCTGATTCTTGAAGCTGTGCGAGAGGGCAGCAGCAAGGCCCGGGAGTAATGATTGGGTTGATTTAGCCATTCCTGAACAAATTGCAATGGTATATGGAGTATTCATGGAGAGAATGGATATTCGCTGGGAAAAAGCGTAGTTACCAATTTAATAACAACCAAGAATAATGATGAGATGCCTTGATCTTTCTCAGCTTACCTGACTGGACATATTGCGAAGATGTAGTGACCTACTATCGCAGCTCTATCCGAAAACGAATAAGAGGCTGTATATAGTACATATGGAAATTAAATATGCTAGTTATCACGTGAATGTCTTTACCACAGTTAACACCTTAACAATTAACACACCGCCCTTAACTCTTTATCGCATTGTATTGATATTCATAGAATTGACTTTGCCCACCGCGAATGCCATTTTCCAAGAATTGAGCTGTATTCCATCTAGATGGGTTCGCAATTGTCGCCTGCGACAGCCCCCTGGGACGGAGTCTCAGATCAGGAGCAACTTTTTGTTTTGATCACAGGTGCCAATAGGTTTGCTCAATTGCTCCAGGCTATAGGAAACAACAGCTAATGCAAATCAAGTGGCATCGGTCTCAGTATTGGAGAACGACTGATTGACGATTTCCTCGCTACACGATCTTTGCGCTCCCACCTTATCCTCATCCCCACCACACGATCAAAGTCCAAGTCCTTACAAACGATCCAAACCCTCCGTGATTACGCCAGAAAAGCCGCGCAATCTTCTACAGCACTATGTTCGCGTGTCGGGAGTTCATATCGTTGGGAGGATACCGTTGCGCGAATCCATGTTCTGAGCTTGCAGCTTGACCTATGTGACTTGCGCGGGGTGTACTCTTTCGCAAATGCTTTGTTACGAGGCCCAGTGAGCAACCCTGAGGGGCTGCAGGGCGAATATCTACAAAACGTACGCATTCCAAGGCTGGATACTGTAGTATTCAATGCTGCGTATGGTGGATGGTCAGGGGTCAATTATCCCAAAGCTGTATGGACTATCTTGACCCAGGGGTTGGTGCAGTCTGTTACTTGGCCGAACTTCAAGATGGCTCTCCCTACTGCTCTGTTGAACGAAAAGCGCAACTACAATTATGTGAGTCGGAGGTCCAGCAACTCAAGGATTTCACCCATTGACTGAATGCAGCCTAAGGAACCTTTACTCGGCGAGGTGTTTACAGCGTGTGTTTTTGGTCATTATGTATTGGCCCACGAACTTCTTCCACTACTTAGTCGGCGATTCGAATCCGAAATACCCGGCCGTCTTGTCTGGTCCAGCAGCCTTGAGGCCGTCGACAGTGTTCTCGATATGTCCGACTTCCAGTGCTTCAATGGCAAAGGCCCGTACGAATCCGCCAAACGAGTCACTGACATCCTCTCCCTTACTGCAACTCTTCCTGCCGCCCTGCCATCTTCCAGTCGCTTCTTCACTGCCGACGACCCCAATGAGGCCCGCGATAAACCCATTCGACCGCGCATGTATCTCAGCCACCCGGGTATTGTTGCCAGCACCCTATTCCCAGTTCCCTGGTTTCTTATGTGGGCATATGAACTTGCTCTTCTGATCAGCCGCTGGATTGGTTCGCCCTGGCATAACACAGACAGCTATACCGGTGCCAAATCCCCTGTTTGGATTGCGCTCCAAGAGCAATCTGCGCTTGATGAACTAGGCGCCGAGCGTATTAAGTGGGGGAGCAGCTCCAACCGTCACATGCAGGTTGAAGTTAAGAAGACCGAAGTTGAAGGCTGGGGTTGGGAGGGCAAAGTCGAGGATGCGGCGGCGCTCGAAGCGGACACTGCTGTTGGTGTTTTCAAGAAGACCATCGGGCGAAAGAGAGGCGCTAAAGACGTGACCAAGGAAGATATCGTGAGATTCGAAGAACTGGGCGCAGAATGCTGGCAAAGGATGGAGAGCATGCGACACGAGTGGGAAACCATTCTTGGGGTTAAAAAGGCATAGAGGAAAAGATCCCATCATGGTTAAAGGATCCAATCGGCGTTTAACTAAAAAGGAAATGGGTATATTGCGACAATGACAGGCATAAAACGCCACAGATGACAGTAATATTAGTAGCTCCCAAAGTCATAGCTTAGAGAACCATACGCAGGCCCATGTCGCATTGAGTTTGAAATCCAGTCATGCGTTAGTCGTTACAGTCGTGTCCGACCGGTTTTGTTCATCTGAACGAACACGTCGAAGCGTCGTCTTTTCTTTCCGGCCAAAAAGCCCCAGACACAGAGGGAGGGGCACTACGGCAAGAGCAACAACTGCTTGGAAGATCAGCGAATTTTTCATGTTCTTCGGAGGATTCGCATCCTTATCGGCCACGAGCGCATCGCTAATGATGATGAAGATAGCACCGAATAGCTGGCCACCAGCCCACGCTAAAGTTGAAGTGATTTCGGGACTGAGTGGGTGGCTGAGTTCGATGAGAAATTCGAGTGCGATAGGAACCAACGAAAAGGAGGAGGCACCAAGAATGGCGAGAACTACATAGGGACCAGCGATGTCCCTCGTTTCAGGCATCCAGACAAAGACCAAGTAACTGACGCCAACGATGGGGACAAGAATCTTGAGAGTTAAGAGGAAACTCTTCGTGCGATCGATAATGGGTGACGAGATAGCGGAGGCGATGAGACCAACAACGATAAGCACGGCACCGCCGATACCAGCTTCGTCGTCAGAAAAGCCATATGGCGAGAAGATCTGATTGAGAAGTGAAGAGATCGAGTTGAAGAACCCGACGTATATGGAGAAGGGAACAAGGATCAGCCAGATCTCGAGAGAACGACTCAAAACCCCCAAGGATTCGCGGAGACTGAGTTTAGGGGTCTCAGCTGCTGGACCAACTGGTGAAGGGGGTTTGGCTGGGACGGCGAACGCAGGTACGGCACAAACCGTTGACTAGAACCTTTAGATATGGAGAACAAGAAATTTGAAGGGCACATACAATGATGGAGATATAGAGGACCATGTTTGACACATCGCCAGCCTTTTTAACCATGAGTGGTGTAATTAGTTGTCCGAATGCTGCACCGAACGGGTTGGCCAGACTTGTCAGAGCTGTTGCAGCGACACGTCCACGGTTAGTGAACCACAAATCCGAATAACGAGTTGGTGCTGCAAGAATAAAAGGCTGGGCAAAGCCAATGATAATCTCTCCGGCCATGGCATAGGCAATACTCCCACCACTAGACTTGGTAGAACCGGCGTATCGAATCCAATTGCCAATGAGAATGAGAACGGCGGCTGTCATGAAGGCTAACTTCGGACCCCGATGGAGGATGGCAATGCTGATGGGAAACACAGCCACAAATGCAAGGAAGAACGCAGTGCTGATCCAGTTGATGGTAGATTCGCGAACATCATAGTACTCGGCAGCCTGTGATGCTACTGGTGCAAAGGTCATCCACTATCGGTCTTCTGTCAGCATATGCATCTTATTCGATTGGTGGCGTGGGAACTCTAAACTTACATCCCACGACACAATGATATTCATCAGCGTAAGCTGAGCGAGACCAAACCAACGTCGTTTGTAAGTACGATACTCTGTCGAAACTCCTTGGCGAATGCTACCCTCCTCGGCCTCGACATCTACCTCGCCCTCACCTGTTGCTCTGCGCTCTTGAAGAGTGAAGTCCCTCGAGCCGAGCTTCTGCTTGCGCCAGAAGCGGCCACCAACACCGTCGCTACTCATGATGCTGAACGAACCAGGGTTGTCGCGATCACTTGGATTCTTGTGTAAGTGATTTGTATCAAAACCTGAGGGTGGAGTTGAGAGGTTTAATGAAGGAAATACGTTTCTTTCGATTTGCGCTGTTGAAACGATGATGCGTGACAGGGACAGGGATACACTGAGCAATGGCAGTGCCAGTCAGTGCCAGTGCCAGTATTGGTTTCAAGAAGAGGTCCAAGGAGCAAGGACGTCCTCATGCACTGTCTGACTGTGGTGGCAGATATACGAGAAGAGCGTGATTCAGCACTGATAGAAATATAGGTAAAGATATCGAAGAAAAGGAGTTCGGGCGGAGAATTGACAACTCCCGCGCCGATGGTGTTTATCACCTCACTTGATTCAAAATCGCCTCACTGTGATGTCGCTGTCCTCTGATCGAGTCCTCGGATTGTCGGTTCAACCTTGAATTTATTACTCGACGTCAACTAGGATCCTCGCCTCGGCCAGACTTTAGGGGTACTTTGATTGATGGGTCGATCGCGGATTGTGGGAGGGTTTCAGCTTGGCGATCCTAGCGGGCTTGTAGATTCATTGTAGCTGTTGAGTAATTGGGCGAGAACTGGAAGTGGTGGACGAGCAATGGAGAGATAAAGATCTGATTTGGTCTGGGAGAGGGGGGAAGAAATGGTTTAATTGAATCTAATCTACCTTGGAAGGAGGACACTGAAGCCAACTGCCATTGCCGTCAACCGGAATCTTGCCATCCACAAGAGGAAGTCCGTGTGGTACCTTTGCCATCACCTGCCTGCCTTACCTGCACCTTCAGTCCTTCACAGACATCTGCATCGAGGACAGCACGCGACGCTAATGGTAACGGCTTAAGGCTAGGCCCTCTGATAGGTCGCTATAGGTTCTACAGTCCAGGATCAGAAACGCCCTAGCTGCAATATCCATCTCAAACTTCGACCAACCGAGCGTGGATTATGTATGCACTAACTTGATATAGCACAGGCCCGGTACCACCTTTACTCGTGTTGGTGATCTAACTATCTGTAAAGCGGCAATATCTCCTTTGAGTATTGATATCCAGAGACTATTGATGCTACGGAGTAGTTTTGTATGAGATGGCAGCTTTGATACGTACTGCATGCTTGCTTGCTGTGGTCTAACAGAATATAGGTAGATACTACACAATAGTTATTATGCATCTATATTCAACCTCCTCGTACGCCATCTCGAAGCCATCCAAACAAGGAATCTCAAAGCGAGCATAAGCAGAATCCAAGATCCAGGATCAGGTAAAGTTCCAATGCAACCACAACATGCACCCTAACTAACCAGGCCAACCGAACGTTATTACTTTTAACCGAGCTCTGTATGTCTGCGGCGTTGCTACAAGGGATTGGCATTGGCTTTTGAAGATCTTAACCAAAGTCAATTATGAAGAAGTTTATCTAACATCCCCAGGTTTTGGCATATTTCGTCTAACCTTTATTGACCCTTCATGTCATAATATTGACAATGGCCATTGTTAGTAAATCGAAGGTCCCATGATTTGCGACTTAGACAATTGATCTGATTATTATCAAGAAGGACAGAAACTGTTATCAAAGCATATAAAATCTAAGAACTCTCTCGTAGGCCACTAAACGATGCGGGGTTTCCAATACCTCCAACTTTGTTCCAGGACCCTGTTCCTAGCACACTCCAATGCCCTACAACGCTCAAAACGATGAGCCAGAATGTGTCACTCTAACTGTGCCGTGTTCCGATATCCCACCAATCTATTCTTTTTCGTTCTGATCGCACCGAGGTGTCACATGTACTATTTAGCAAAAGAAGAAATGGAAGTGAAGAGAGAGAGAAGGTTTGGCGTTACGATATACCCATGCATTATTTACATAGTACCTAGGCAACAGTCTCTGCCATGGAGAGAAATATATCGGATATTATTTATAGTAATACCAACCTACTGTAAGCATAATGTTTAGATAACATCCTCAAAGGAGGTCATAACTACTACCTATCGTTTCTTTCTATAGAAGACTTGGAGGTTAAGCCGACGAGAATCTTCCAAAACTATTTTCACGACAAGAACACACGCATACATCGTCACGGCAAGGCTCTTCGACATGTCAGAAAGTATTTGGCCTAACAAACAGATATCTGATGCTTCTCACCAGACCACACAATGGCTAGCAGTGAAACCAAACATTGTGGCAAACTAGTTTATCCCTGTTACTAGAATAGCTGCTGTGCGACGTCGACCTCTATCCATTATAATAAGTTCTGGCACTTGGACATACACAATCCTTGTTGGGTCAGGTAAGTGCAAAAGTCAATCAATGGTCTAGGTATAGTGTGCAAGAAATCTATTCAGGCGTTTGAGCGTATGGTACAGAGAGCCGCAATCAGATAAACCTCTGGACGACTTGACACCCAACTGACGAGCAATCGTACAAGGAGATAGCCCTCATTAGAGAGCTGGCTTGCTTCGTTCCGGCTCTAGGCATCTTTTCGACGAATATGTAGCCATTCCGTCGTGGTGGGAACCGACAACCCAATGATATTGATACTTTATTTAAGCTGAGTCCAGAGCTTGGGGGCGGCGCAGGCGGTCGCACAGTGGGCAAGGTGGAAGACTAGATAAGATGTTGGTTAGCATCTGGTATGGTAGGTGGGATGTTCGGGGTCCTCGGGCCCCATGACGCAGTCTGGGCTGGTAGACATACATTCTTCGACGCAGTCCTCCTTAGCGCCACCCTCACTCTCTTGCTGTTGAACGCGCTCGACGCACTCGTCGAAGTGGTGTTTGGCGGGGGCACATTGGGGAGAGTTCTTGCACTCTGTTGATGCGTTAGTATGTATTGCGGGTTATATCGCGCCCGGCTGTGAAGCATTTGTGAAATCACTCATGACGTTCCGGGCTCAAGATTGGCGTGAGAAATTGACGAACCTTCCTCGAGTGTCTCCTTGGGGTCGACGAGCTCTTCCTCGTCATCCTCGTCCTCATCCTCCTCTTCCTCGTCCTCAGCCTCTTCCTCGGGCTCGTCCTTGGACTCGTCCTTGGACTCGGTCTCCTCCTGTTCCTTGTCAGTATTTGATCATCTATTACGCAAGGCATTATATGCGCTCTCGACGAAGTCCCGTTGTAATCAATCAATGGCAAGGTCGATGACACATAATGCCTTGCTGTAAAAAATCCCGTACCTGGGGTTCCTCAGCAGGGGCCTCAGCCTCAACAACGCTCCATGGCGTCACAGCCTCGACAATATCGGTGAAGGCGTCCCAGATACCCATTGCGACAGGCGGAAGAATTCACAATGGCGAGTGGTGGTTTCGATTGAGGTGTCGTTCGTCGATTAATCGTAAAGATCGGAAGGTCACGGCAAGCTCTCGGCAGACCACTGAAATTGAAAACCAAGGCATTTTGATTGGTTAGGCTTTGTCATCTTGGATCACGTGATATGTTCCTGATCCATCTTACCGAGCCGCAAAACCTGTATAATGTGGTTGAATGGAGTTTATCTCTCCAGATTCTCGAATATCCCACTCAAAGGTTATCACGTTCTATTATCATATCCAAAAAGTGGCTGGGAAGTTAATATTTCGCAATATAGGTCTAGCAAATCCCTTGGAACATGAAAACCCGGGAAAAAACAAGAGACAGTATAATGAGTTCATGAATGCAGTGCTCAAATCTTGGTATCTGTAACACAACCACAGCCATTGGTGTGGTCCAACGCGGCCGTTAATCATCATTTTCGTATGCTCCCCTATCGATTTCACCCCGAATGTGGTCCTCCAATCGAATGTTTAACTGCTGCGCCTGAGCCTCGTCATAATCTGGTGGTGGTTCGTCCGGTGCCCTCCTACTAGCAGCGCTCTCTGAGCGATTAGGGCGTACATCTGTCGAGTTTGTTGTAGGTGCTGGCTGAGCGGAAGGAGCTTCATATGCTGGAAGAGGCTCATCAGGGACATCAGCACCAGGGCCCATCTCCCGGCGCATCTCTTGATACTGGTAAAGTCGCTCCCGCAGCCTTATATAGGCTTCGTTGAAATCCGTCATGCCTCCATCTGAAAACGTGAACTTGACCTCAAGCCGAGGAATATCTGGAGGGATGCCACCACCGGATACAGGAATACAATCTGATTTCCACACCCATCCCCACCACATGGATGACGAGGTGGTGGAGTCTTGAAACTTCAGGATTGGGGCACTGAATGATTCAAACTTTGGTTCTTGCGTAGGTTTTAAAGGAAGATACACGATCTGAAGCGTCAGTAGAGCATCTCGAGATAGATTTGCTATCAACTTACTCTCTTGTTGGTCAGGAAGAGGGTGCCTTTATCACTTTTCCGTTGAAACGAGGCACATCGTGCTCTCAGCTCCTGGGGCACAGACAGGTCGCATGAGATTCTCGATTCGAGCTTCATCAAGATGCGTTCATTGCCAAGCTTGACGAAGCCGCCCTGATTGAGCATAACCCAGCTATCGGCATTGTCAGGATCGACGGGCCGCGAAGGAGGACGGCTTGTAATAAGATAGTCATGAGGATTGTCCATTATAGGGCGGGGTCCATGACTCCATGGGCCGAAGGTGGCGGGGCAGTCAACGGACGGACTGAGCCGTGGCCGCCGTGACCGGAGGGTACGGGGCGGAGAAGACGGCAGAGGGAGACGGGAAGGTGACGGAGGCAAGAAACGGAAACGGAGAGAGAGGGACGGGAATGAGAAGATGGGTATGGTATGGGCACAAGACAAGACAGGATACCACGGGAGCGACAATCTCTGAAGACTCGGTGCAGGACTAAAGCAGTGACCAAGAGGGCAGGGCTAAGGTTGACAAGACGGGACGGGAAAGATGGAAAGCTCAAAGAAAGAGATTCAAGAAAGAGGTTCGCGAAAGAGGCTTACTTTATCGACATTGTCTCGTACAGGGTTCAAGCGACCCTAGCTCGTGGGCAAATGGCTCCAGGCTCCGTACCGGCAGGTTCAGGACGTGCAGGCAACTTTAGTAGCTCCGAGATCTTGGAGCGGGTGGCTCTGGGCTGCGGCCGGGTTGGCCTTTGGCCTTGTCTTGCCTTGGGTCCTTGGGGCCTGGTGGTGCTGTAGTGGGGGGTGGGTCGTTTTGGAGACTGTTCCGTTTTGCGAGCGAGCGGACGAGCGACTTTGTGCTAAGGCCTAGAGGGTATCCGTAGGTACAGTAGAGGAGGAGAAGCCAAAGTTCCAAGCCAGCCGAGGGTGATTGTCAGGGTCGTCGAATAGGATCAGGATGACCCGAGGCCAAGGGACAGGATCGACTAACTAGGGGACGAGACAAGAGATGCTGCAGCGGTAGGAGATCCCAAGCTAAGGAAGCAAGCGACCAAGCCAAGCCAAGGAATGGATAAGGATAGGTATACGTAGTACTGTAAAGAGGCGAAGAAACAGAGAGAGACAGGCAGAGGAGGCACAGGGACAGCCCGAAGAAAAGCTTGACTGAACTGAGCTGTTAGGCTGACCTGACGCTGACTGACTGACTGACTGACTGACTGACTGACTGACTGACTCTGTGACTGACTGACTGACTGACTGACTGACTGACTGACTGACTGACTGACTGACTGACTGACTGACTGACTGACTGACTTGGCGAGCAGTTCAGAGAGTGCAGAACAGAACGAGACAGAACAGGTGGCTGGTGGCTGGAAGTGGTGCCGTAATGAGGTGGGGGAGGCGGCGATTTGATCGAATTTGCGGGCGATGATAGATTTGATTTGTGGACGTTGGGTCAAGCTCACAGGAAAAGAGAACGATGTGATTGATGTGTGATGCGTGATGGTGTGATATTGGAGGAAGAATGAAGACCGATGGACAAAGCAAATAAGGCTAGTCCTGAAGTTGTGATGTATGTACTCTACTACAGACAGTACAGTACAATACCACAGACGGGCAGGGCAGGTTCGGTGGTGGATGAGGTCGGGTGTGATTCGTGAAGGAATTGCTAAACCCAGGGCCAAAGTTTCAGTGGATTAGTGTAGGTAGTTTGGACTGGGCTTGGAGATGCGAAAGTTGGGCGCTGCGGATCGTTTTTTCTTGGGCCGAGCCGCGCGGATGATCTGGTCCAAGAACTGCCTGTTCACGTTAATTAGGTGAGCTGAGGTTACCTTGGAGCTATCCTCTAGGTGACATTCAGAGATGGTGATTGGCCAAGCGACATCGCAATGTATCGACTTCCCATGTCCCATGGCTGGGTCTGTTAAGGTTGAAACAATCCACCACGTGCTTCTCATTGAACTGAAGCTGACAATCACCAGAACAAACTTCCAGTCTACCACTGCCCTGGGAAACATCCTGGCACGGACGGCCTCTAAGGAAACTAACGTCCGTCCGTCCCGTCACAACCACCAAATGGCTTTTTCTGTAGCCTCATGTTCCATCTAATTTTCTTCTCTTTTCGTGGACCCCTGACGCTGAGCTTCTCTGACCCCTGCTGAGAAAGTTGTTGTCCGCCGCAACCCTGAGCAAGTCAATTCTCAAGATCGTCTTTCCCCCCCTCCCATATCGTTGCCCTCCACTATTATCAGCTATCACTATTAGCCAAGATCTGGCAGGTCAAGTCGATCATCTGGTGTTTCCTCTCAATTAATACCAAGCAAGGTTACAGGCAAGGTCATATGCTGTGCCTCGATTACAAATAGAGCGTTCCATGCTTCTCGGGTTGTCCTTATACCATAGCCAGAATCTAAATCCATACCTTGGGGCCTAGATAGAGAACAACTCTCTCCATGTGGGATGTCACAACGTCAGTTCCATCACCCGACATGCTTGCCCCGTTAGCCAATGCTAGGTAGCAACAACTGGGACCCATCTCTGCCCGGCCCCAGAACAGCATCCACCAAGCCAACATCATCCCAGCCGTGTCAATCTAATGAGACGGCTGACAGTGATTGATGTGGAGGCGCATGGCTCCTCGCCCAATTCGACATGATCAAGTGTCCCGGCCACGAATCATGATGATGAGGATGCGGATGATGGGGCATCAAGTGTTCCCCTCACACGCCAGGTATAGCCATGATGGTATGCATCTTTTAGTTGCATTTCTCAGCAGCTGGTGCACTTATTCGTGGTTGTTCTGGTCTATAGGGCAGGGATAGTTTGGTTCAAATCACTCATGAACCCCCCTCGTTGCAGATGTCAACACCAATTAACGGTCTGGATCTGTTTCGAGGATCTTATGTGGAGGACATGGCCAGCACATATACTCTCCTTCATGCCAAAGAAAGGCTCAGCAGTGCAACTAACAAGGCTTCCGCCCCAATGAGTTTCTATTATCCGGTTCCGCTTCATAGATTATCCTACGTATCAAGTCTAGAAGCAGTCAATAACAGCTGATCTTAGCACAAGGAGATGCCTCGTTGCTCATGTGTCTCTGTTCTGTTATCTGAACGAGCATTTTGGGCCCAGTTGAGCAAAGTTCTCATCATCTTCAACCCAGCCTTGAAGCACATGTCACAATTTGTTAAACGGGTCCTTGGAATGTCCGTGTGTCTGGGGTTGAGTTGATAGAACGGACAGGTTGAGTTGTCTAGCCCAAGCACTTATTAGCTAGCGTAGCATCTACTTTTGACAGCATCTATTCCATGTGGTAACAGGAATGGATGAGTCCGCTGTAACGCAGAAATTGCGGCTTGTCACGTTAGGAAATTACAAGCCGCTCTTTATTTCTCTTCGGTCGGTTGCTACGTGATAGTAGTATATCGCTGCTCTGTTTTTGTATGTTCGGAATTTTCGTTGATATCTGGTGAACCCCACTTATGGCTCACTACAAAGAGCATCTTCATACCAAAAATCTGCTCTGCGACACCAGCCTCTCTGAAACATTGATCATGCCTCGCCATGACTCGTTGCCCGAAGGAAGCCGGTCGTCTATCGCGGCGATAAAGAATATGTATGTAGGCGTAGGCCATGCTTGGACACCATCTTGATCTTGGCCCTTGCTCATAAGACACGTCACATTTTTGTACCCTGAGTCCTCGTCACTGACTGATTGATACCAGGACGGGAACTGATAGTCATTTTTGCGTCATGTACCAACAAACGAAAGAGAGAGGGAGAGAGAAAAACCTTCCTACGAATAGTCCAGAAGAGGATCCGAAAGAGAGAAGAGTAAACAAGAGACGTCATGTCAGGGTTGCTCCGCTTGAGCTCCTAATCTATCTCTGTCGCTAGCTCACAGTTGCAGTTGCAAATAAAACACTGGTTCCTCGTCAACTTTGAATTCCCGTCCAGGGCCAGATCCTTCGAGTTGAATGATT